GGCGGGACCTCGCCATCCACGGTGTGGGCACCGGAGCGGGCGAGGGGATCGGGACAGCAGGGGTTGGGGGTTGACCTTGCGCAGCCACTTCCGGCGCGTGGGCAAAGGGCGCATGACCACACGTGGCCGCGCACATACATGGGGCCTGTTGGCTCGGACCTCGTCAGCACACTGGGCGAGCCGGGAGGGAAGCAAGGCTCTGCTTCACGGCCCAAGTGACGAACACGGTGGTTGCGGCAGTTAACGCTTGTGAGTGCGGCACGCCCTGTGAGTCAGGGTGAGCTTTCTGCAGCTAGTTCAGCGCTCGTTTCCGGCCTTTTGGCCCCTTTGTCCGAGGAGGCCGAGGAGACCCTCGCTGAGCTGCAGGACCCCGCCCGGCGGCCGCGTGAAGCTTATGCCCCCCTGGACTCCGCACTGTTGGAGTCCCCCGTGCAGCTCTCGGCCGCGTCCATCTTGTCCAACCTGCGCCGGGCACGGAAAAGCGCTGCAGCTGGCCCTTCCGGTTGGACTTCCGAGTTTTGTCGTCTTGCTTTGGACGACGAAGCCACCAGCGTACAGAGGCCGTCGCACATGCCTTGGCAATGGCCGCGGATTTGCACCCTGATGCCACCCTCCTCTCCGTTGACGGGGTTGGCGCCTTTGACACCATCAGCCGGCAGGCGATGTTGCAAGCCTTGCGGGACTGCATGCAACGCTGGCCGCCGTGCAGCGCAGCTTCGCCCCGGCGAGATGTTGCTCGCCTACCTGGATGGCATCTATGTCATCGTCACTCCTGAGCGCGCTCGCCCCGTTTTTGACTTGTTGTCCCTCCACTTGGGCCAGCACGCCCGTGTCCAACTCCATCGTGGCAAGCCACGGGTTTGGAACGCCTCTGGCGTCGTTCGTTCGTTCGTTGAGCCTTCAGCACCATTAAGGCGCCTGGCTAACGCCATCAGTGCGCATGCAGGCAGAGCTAGGGCCGGCACAGTACATCTCGGCGAAACCAAAACTGTGGGTAGGCAGGGTGTCAAGCGCGAGAGAACTAATGAACGGTCTAAATATCGCGGAGAGCCGCTGTGCGCCAGAGGACGCTGTCAAGGGTTCCCGTTGTTGCCGCCCTATTAACTTACACTTGGGCTGAGCGGAGAGCCGCCGTGCGCCTGAGGACGCCGCCCTACGCCTGTGATAACACAGGACCCAGCAAACCAAGTGTTGGTCGTGCACAGCGCCCAGTCGGCGAGTGTTCCATGTGCCGATGCGTATGTCATGGCGAGTTCGTCTTGTCTGTCTTTGCCGCTTTAAGAACTTTCCCCATTGCACTCGTCTATGTTTGCGTAATTTGTCGGCTTTCCGGAGTACCGCGTTGCTGCTTTGCCCATGTGTGCTACCCGTCAGTAGTTGTGCTGCGAGGGTGGCCCAGTATGTGGCCGCTTTTCGGCGGCGTTTTCTATCGGCTCGGCCTGCCATTTGTGCTGGAGCTGAAACACAGCAGCCGATGTGCGCATGATGGCGTTCTATGGGGCGGAGTTCATTGTTGTCTATCACGTGAGTTGATTCGGCTATGTCTGCTCAATTCCTGCCATCGGCATTCTCCTCAATTAGTTCGGAGAGTCGGAGCCCACCCGCCTCTACCCGGAGTAGGGCTGAACACGGAGAGGAAGTGGTACGGCCGTCGAGTCCCCAAGAGGCCATCTTCCCAAGTCCAGGTTCAACCGGTATCTACCCCGTTGCTCCTCGTCGGTCGGTCTACACCAACCACCTCTATTAAGAGGAGGGACGTTTGCCTCACCCTATGTATTTCCTGATTGTGTCAGTCTTTTCCTGATGTTTGTGTCTTTTCCGCGTTCGATGTTCCTTGGTTCGATTCCATCCTCATCTCTGTTGCTAATTGTCTGCATGTCCTCCCCTTGTGACCCGGATCCGATGATTACCTCGCATGTGGGGTGAGTTTCCAGGGCGCACCACGTGGAGGTTTGGAGCACGCGCGACCATCGGTTGGCGGCCGATGGTCCACTGATGGCACAATGAGAGGGAGTATCAATGCGCCAGCTGGCTGCTTCATTTCATCTCTTCATGAGTTCAGTAAGAAAGGAAAAGACAAAACAAGGAAAAAACACAGAAAAAGGAAACCCACACGCACGCCAAGCAACCCGCGGCAAGCGTCCAAGGGGCCCGACGAGAAAAGAAAGGAAAAACGACAACAGACAAAAAAAAGTCGTTCTTTTCAGTCATTCTTTCAATGTGTCTCGCGCGTGCCAGCCTCAGTGCCCCCCCGGCATGCGAGAGCTTGGTTCCAGCAGCGAGCCCGCGTGGGTGGGGGATACCAGCCTTTCCCCGGTGCAGCGTGGCCTTGTCGTCCCTGGTGCCCCTTGTGGCCACCCTGCCTTCGTGGCCGCGCAACTCGAGCGCACACGGGAGCACCAGGACCGGCTCCTCCAGGGCATCCGTGCGCTGCCTGACCTGCAGTCTGCCTGGCTTCTTCTTTTGTTTTGTGCGTCGCCTCGTTGCAACCACACTCTTCGCATGTCGCCACCCGCGGCTTCCCTGGATTTGCCGCCGTGCATGATGCGGCTCGCTCGGCCTTTCTGAGACCTTCTGGGTGCCGGCCCCCTTCCCGAGGCCGCTCTGCAGACCACCCAGCTGCCCTTCCAGCACGGTGGCCTCAACTTACGGTCTGCCGTTGCCCTGGCCCCTGCTGCCTATTGGGCCTCATGGGCTGACACCCTACCGGTGCTGCAGCGCCAGCTTCCCGACGTTGCCGCCGCAGCAGTGGCCCAGCTTGTCTCGCCGGCCCCTGCCGGTGCCGCCCTGCTTGGTGCCGCCCGCTGCCGGGACGCATTGGCAGCCGCCGGGTTCAATGCCCCGTCCTGGGAGGATCTGCTCCACGAAGCCCCGCCCCTCGCTGTGCCGCTGGCTGCCCCCGTGCTTGAGCCGAGCGCGCGTGGATGGCAGGCGCCGGCTGCAGCCGCTCTTGCTGAGCGCCTCCAGGCTGATCTTGTCTCTCGATTTGATGTTGCCTTCCAGGCACTCTTGCATTCCCAGACCGGTCCTTTCAGTCTGGTGCCCGGGGTCCCCTAAGCGCCTGCGAGCCGAGATGCTGGCGGGAAAAGGGGCGCGGAGAAGAAAAAAAAAACGCTTGGCCGGCGGCCCCGACACGCCGCAACGCATCGGTTTCCTGAGGCGGCACTGGTCGGCCGTCAAGGCGGGACGCGACTTGCAGGCCTTGGAGGGCCTTGACAAACACCTGCCAAGGAACCGGCGAAGACCGACGAAGCAAGTTCAGAAGTGGGGCCACAAAGTTGCGAAACGAGGGTCAGCGCGCCACCGACCTTCTGCCTCCAGACCCAAGGTGTGGCACCCAGCCAAAAGCAAAGGGACAGGGACGAACAGCTGTTGGCGACTGGCAACGAACTGCCTGGGCTGGAAGGGCCGGAGCGCAGCCATTCGGGGGCAGTGCCGGGGTGGCACTGCAGTGGCTGCAGTGCCACCCTCGGCACCGCGTGGTCAGCAGGGACTGCCGGGTGTGCCGCCGAGCGTGGCTGGCTTGTGGTTGCGTTGGCAAACCATTGGACAAACTCCAAGTCCCAATGCGGTTGCCACGGTTCGTGGCAAAGGGCGCAAGAAGCATTATTCATGTGTTGCCGCATTTGGGCGACGCACATGCCGTGGCACGGATGATTGCACCCCGGCATGTCGTCATGTCCCCCGTCCGAGGCAAGGACGGGCTCGAAGCAAGCGGCTGGCCTCATCAAAGCCAGGCATCACGGCCCCTGCGGCGAGGGCCTGGGCTGGGGACAAGGGTGCCGCCTCAAGCGTGCCCACGACGAGCGTACCCCGACAGAGCAGCATGAGGCGGGAACGATATGAAGGGCCACGTAATAGCCGAACACCCACGGGGGAGCGAAACAGCGAAAGGGGGGTGACCGGGCCCACGCCTGTTGACTGGTTATTTACCTGGGACGGTCCCCCAGATGCCGTTTGTTATACTGGACCGGCCCCCAGTAGTGCAGACCGATTATTTACCCTGACCGTCGCCCCAGATGCCGTTTTTTTTTGGCTATTTGGACCGGCCCCAGTAGTGCTGACCGAATGTTTAGGCTGGGACGGTCCCCCAGGTCCTGTTTTTGGGCCCCTTTATTTGATTTATTTTTTTTGCTGGGCCCAGCCTCCAACACGGAGATCTTAACAACGAGCTGTTTTTAACCTGGGCAGCTTCCAGGGGACAGCTTGTTTATACTGGGCCTGCCCCCCCTGCTATGCAGTCCGTGGCGAGCCGCCGCGTAACCTCAAAAAAAACAACCCGCAAAGAACCAGGCGCAGCCCCAAGACCACACATACACCCGAAAAACAAAGGAAAGAGGAGCCAACCACGTTGAGCCCTTTAGCCACTTCCGCCTTGAGCCATTTAAATGGCTGCCGAGCTGCCCGGCAGGAATAGCAACAACATGTCGCTTAGACGGTTGAAAAAGCGCTTGCTTGCGACTTCTACGTGCATCACACACTGCGTATCAGCATCAGTTACGCTTTCTAGTTGCCGGGACACGTTTTTTGTTTTGTTGTTTCTTCTCGTCTGGCGGGTGCAAAAAGAACATTTGCGCAAACACACACAAACCAACGCACACTTCTCGCCCACGGTGCGTCAAGTCAAGGTAAGCACTTGGCAGGGAGTCTGCGCTACATGTCTGTTCACGAGCCCACCGGTTGTGCTATTTCGGTTGTTATGTGTTTACGCACCATGAAAGGGTCCGGCATTGGCAGTTTGCCGCACCCACCACATGTGTTCGTCGAGGCTTAACAGGTTACGTTGTCCTCCAGGCGAACTAGTCACAAGCCGGTCCTTCAAACAACGCCCCCTCATTTCGGCTGCACACTTGGCCACTTGGCACGTTGCGCCATGCAGATAGACAGTGACATCACAAATTCTTTGACGGGTTAAATTACGCTGGGGTGTCTGCAGCGTTTTCTTGCGCAATGGCAGAAGTGCGTTGCAATGAACGGATTTTCGCCCGTTGCCTTTTTGCAGCTTTCACCGTGACCGCACAGCGGCACGTTTTGCAACATGCCCTGGGTCTGCCACAAGGAGTGCCCGTGACGTGGCGGCAGGAGGTGCCAAATCAAATCGATTGACAACATTCATGCTGCTATAGCTGTAAATATGTTGCGTGCCCGTGCATGCCGGATATTCCGATCTGCGTTTGCGCAAAGGGTGCGCTGTCATGCGTTTGCTTCAGCACGTTGCTTGTGTTTGGCACCATGCGGGGCAGGCTTCAGTAGCTGCATTTGTTGGTCCGGCGTACGAGGCGGCAGTCACAGATTTCGCGGTCTGATGCCCGTTCACAATAACAAAACCAATGACTTCCATTCACTTGAGGAATATTTGTGTGTATTTTCCCTTGTTACAGGGAACCCATCACTTAGGACATCTGTTTTTCCAGTGGACGCATCCGCAAATGGAAGATGACCGAGGCGACGGTGATGCACGCAATTGGGCAGCTGGTCCTTTGGACGCTCACATTGACGGTGCGCAGCTCAGTTGCTAGCGGCCTGTGGGCGATCTTGCGTTTGACTTGGGTGTGTCTTTCTTTGAGAAGTGCCCCCGTTTTTTTGGTCGTCTTGGGAACCAAAACGAAAAACACGATTTTTGGGGGTCACTTGAAATTAGACGGTGGTCCCCTGAAACTACGAAACTAGACCTTGTTGTTGCACTCACTGCACGTGTCTGCGGAGAGAGAGACGGAGAGCGCGAATCGGCGAGTGGCTCGTTGCCAGGCATGGGCCACCAGCTTGTCGTTGGACAAGGTGGAGTTCACCCATGGGTTCACCACCCTGCTGCTGCGTTTCAGCACGGAGGCGTCGAAAGAAGACGGGCGCGCGCCGCGAGCAAAGCCATGGAATCAAACCATGCCCCCCGAGTAACGGAGCCAAGGCTTGTTGAACCAAAGATTGCGAACTTTTGGGGGAGATGACTCTAGACAAATCTGCTCCGGCTTCAACAGAACCAGAAGGCAAGAGTTGAACGAAGATAGTTTTGCAGGGGGCCATGTTCAGGGTGTTTGCCTTCAGGATGATGCAGGTCATTTTCCCAACTCACCGGCTGCGGCTACAAAACCCCATGCTATGGGTGGACGGAACCCTGCGCCACTTTGAAGCTATAGGCATCGATTGTTGCTTGGCATGTACCAAGGGAATCCTTCTTCCAGGGTTTCTCAAATGGTGCGAACGAGTTTCGTCCACCCACAGTGCCCAGGCAGAAATGGCAGACAATAGCGGGGACTTCACTTGCGAGTCCATACTTTCGGCCAGCTCTTTGGCAACGATCCTCGGATGCAATTCTGCAGCTTCCCGAAGGTTGATCAGTGTGTATGTTTTGGAGGATGTGCCTTTTTTTGGTGGTCGAAACGGGGAACCAAAAGGAAAACCACAACGGTTCCCCTTACTTTGAGACAAACCCATATCTTGGCCAAATGGCATAGGGTAACAACATGTTCATATTTAGGTGGAAATACTGCGGATGGACGAGATCCATTTCGCATCACCTAAGAAAGCCTGGAAGGATGACTCCCCTGCAACTACCAACCAGCAATGGTTTCCCATGGTTTCAAAGTGGGGTGAAACGGTTTTCGTCCACCTACAGTATCATTTAATTTGTCTTTCATTTCATTTGGTTAAGAATATGTTTTATTTTCCCCTGTTTGGTTTTTCCCCCCACGGGTCATCCCATGTATTTCGGACCTGATCAACCCCCCAAGTTGGATTGTGCCAAAAAGGTCTCTTGATCCTCGCGCCTTTCACTGCACTCGGTCTATGTTTTGGCCGCCCTATCCCCATCCCCTCGAAAATGGAATGTGGAGGGGGGGGGGGTGGCAGGGAAGATTGAGGCCTATGCGTCGCCGCGTTTTTTTTGTGCATTTGAGCACCACTTCATGTTACATGCTCATGCACTCACACGCACACCAAAACTCTACTCCCACATGGTGCTACAGAGATAATATGCACTTACCATGCAATACTGCTGAATAAACAGGCACTTGGTTCAAACATGTGTGTTATTTTCTCGTGTGCATGTTTCAATTTCAATTTCATGACCAGCAAAAGAATTGCAAGCACGCAGCTAAGTAATATTGTCCGTGGCCAAACACAGGGCACAGGCGTGCAGCTAGGTTCGATGTCAGGAGACTGACAAAGGCCACAGGTGCACAACTAAGTCCTGTTTGCTAATTATTCTACTTATCATCAGTCTTCGAATTCATTCTTATCATTCTTCCCAAAGGGACGGGTGACTTTTGGGGAATTCCAATTATTGTTTGTTCTAATCATTTATTTCTTAGACTTGCTCTAAGTCTTCGAACCACTCCCAAAGGGACGGGTGCCTTTTTGGGAATTCAAGAGCCATCTGTGCTAACTGTTCTACTTATCATCAGTCTTCCAATTATAATTCTTATTCCCAAAGGGACGGGCGCCTTTGGGGAATTGAAGATTGTGTTTGCAAATTATACTACTTAGCATACCTCTTCTGTCTTTTCTTCATGAGTTCCAAAGTGGGACGGGTGACTTGGGAAATTCAATATTCATGTTTGCTGGTTGTTTTTGTAGATTATTCTACTTATCACTCCTCTTCTAATTCATTCTTATCATTCTTCCCCAGGGGCGGGTGTCTTTTGGGGAATTCCAAAGTCTCTTTTGTTCTAACCATTTTATTTCTTAGACTTGCTCTAAGTATTCGAACCACTCCCAAAGAAACGGGAGCCTTGTTGGGAATTCAAGAGTCCTCTGTGCTAATTGTTCTACTTCTCATCAGTCTTCCAATTATAATTCTTATTCCCAAAGAGACGGGCGCCTTTGGGGAATTGAAGATTGTGTTTGCAAATTATACTACTTAGCATACCTCTTCCAACTAGTTTTTTCATGAGTTCCAAAGGGATGACTTTGGGGAATTCAATATTCATGTTTGCTGGTTGTTTTTGTAAATTATTCTACATATCATTACTCTTCTAATTCATTCTTATCATTCTGCCCAAAGGGACGGGTGACTTTTGGGGAATTCCAAATATTGTTTGTTCTATTTATTGTATTTCGTAGACTTGCTCTAAGTATTCGAACCACTCCCAAAGGGACGGGTGCCTTTTTGGGAATTCAAGAGTCCTCTGTGCTAATTGCTCTACTTATCATCAGTCTTCCAATTATAATTCTTATTCCCAAAGGGACCGGCGCCTTTGGGGAATTGAAGATTGTGTTTGCAAATTATACTACTTAGCATACATCTTCTGTCTTTTCTTCATGAGTTCCAAAGTGGGACGGGTGACTTGGGAAATTCAATATTCATGTTTGCTGGTTGTTTTTGTAGATTATTCTACTTATCACTCCTCTTCTAATTCATTCTTATCATTCTTCCCCAGGGGCGGGTGTCTTTTGGGGAATTCCAAAGTCTCTTTTGTTCTAACCATTTTATTTCTTAGACTTGCTCTAAGTATTCGAACCACTCCCAAAGAAACGGGTGCCTTGTCTGGAATTCAAGAGTCCTCTGTGCTAACTGTTCTACTTAACATCAGTCTTCTAATTATAATTGCTTATTCCCAAAGGGACGGGCGCCTTTGGGGAATTGAAGATTGTGTTTGCAAATTATACTACTTAGCATACCTCTTCCAACTAGTTTTCTCATGAGTTCCAAAGGGATGACTTTGGGGAATTCAATATTCATGTTTGCTGGTTGTTTTTGTAAATTATTCTACATATCATTACTCTTCTAATTCATTCTTATCATTCTGCCCAAAGGGACGGGTGACTTTTGGGGAATTCCAAATATTGTTTGTTCTATTTATTGTATTTCGTAGACTTGCTCTAAGTATTCGAACCACTCCCAAAGGGACGGGTGCCTTTTTGGGAATTCAAGAGTCCTCTGTGCTAATTGCTCTACTTATCATCAGTCTTCCAATTATAATTCTTATTCCCAAAGGGACCGGCGCCTTTGGGGAATTGAAGATTGTGTTTGCAAATTATACTACTTAGCATACATCTTCTGTCTTTTCTTCATGAGTTCCAAAGTGGGACGGGTGACTTGGGAAATTCAATATTCATGTTTGCTGGTTGTTTTTGTAGATTATTCTACTTATCACTCCTCTTCTAATTCATTCTTATCATTCTTCCCCAGGGGCGGGTGTCTTTTGGGGAATTCCAAAGTCTCTTTTGTTCTAACCATTTTATTTCTTAGACTTGCTCTAAGTATTCGAACCACTCCCAAAGAAACGGGTGCCTTGTCTGGAATTCAAGAGTCCTCTGTGCTAACTGTTCTACTTAACATCAGTCTTCTATCTATAATTGCTATTCCCAAAGGGACGGGTGCCTTTGAAATTGAAGATTGTGTTTGCAAACTATTCTACTTAGCATACCTCTTCTAAGTATTTTCTCATGATATGCAAAGGGAGGGGTGACTTGTGGAAGTCAAAATATTGTTTGTTCCAATCATTCCTTAGACTTGCTCTAAGTATTCGAACCACTCCCAAGGGGACGGGCGCCTTTTTGGGAGTTCAAGAGTCCTTTGTGCTAATTGTTCTACTTATCATCAGTCTTCTAACTATAATTGTTATTCCCAAAGGGACGGGGGCCTTTGGGGAATTGAAGATTGGTTTTTGCAAGTTATACTACTTAGCATACCTCTTCTAACTAGTTTTCTCATGAGTTCCAACGGGACGGGTGCCTTCTGGGGAACTCAAGAGTCCTTATTGCCAATTGTTCTACTTATCATCAGTCTCTAAGTGCACTTGTTTTCCCAAAGGGACGGGTGCCTCTCGGGATGGAATATTCATGTTTGCTAACTATTCTGCTTATCATAACTCTTCTAGTTCTTCTCCAAAGGGACGGGTCACTTTTGGGGAAGTCCAAATTAATTGTTGTTCTAAACATTGTGTGTCTTATACTTGCTCTCAGTATTCGAACCACTGCCAAAGGGGCGGGTGCCTTTTAGGGAATTCAAGAGTCCTGTTTGCTAATTATCATCAGTCTTCTAATCATAATTGTTCTTCCCAAAGGGACGGGTGCCTTTGGGGAATTGAAGATTGTTTTTGCAAAATATACTACTTAGCACACCTCTTCTAAGTATTCTCTCATGAGTTCCAAACGATGACTTTGGGGAATTCAATATTCATGTTTGCTGGTTGTTTTGCAAATTATTCTACTTATCATAACTCTTCTAATTCGTTCTTATCATTCTTCCCAAGGGACGGGTGACTTTTGGGGAAGTCCATTTTTCCCCAACAGCTGAAAGCTTCGGGGTCTCAGCCCAGATAGGCTCCGGGGTAGTCCGGGGCGGCCCTGAGGTAAGGTTCCACCAAGGTTCCACCAAGGTTCCACCAGGGTTCCACCAGGGTTCCACCAGGGTTCCACGAGTTCCACGAGGTTCTGCGAGGGCTGCGGGGTGGTGCGAGCACTAAAAAGAGCACCGCATGCTGTTGGGGATGTCACCTGAGCTTGTTTCTATTCATTTTATTTCTTAGACTTGCTCTAAGTATTCCAACCACTGCCAAAGAGGCGGGTGGCTTGTTGGGAATTCAAGAGTCCTCTGTGCTAATTGTTCTACTTATCATCAGTCTTCTAAATATAATTGTTTTTCCTGGAGGGGCGGGTGCCTTTGTGGAATTAAAGATGGCTTTTGTGCAAGTTATTCTACTTAGCATACCTCTTCTAATTAGGTTTCTCTTTATTTTGAAATGGACGGGTGACTGTTGGGGGAATTCCAAATTTATGTTTGCGCTAATCATTGTGTGTCTTATAATTGCTCTAAGTATTCGATCCACCCCCAAAGGGACGGGTGCCGTTTGGGGAATTCAAAAGTCCTGTGCGCTAAGTATTCTACTTGTAATCCGTCCTCTAAATACAAATGCTAGTCTCAAAGGGACGGGTGCGTTTGGGGAATTGAAGATTGATTTTGCAAATTATAATACTTATCATAACTCTTCCAATTAATTCTTTTCATTACTCCCAACGGGTGCCTCTTGGGGACTTCCAGATTCATGCTTGTTCTCGTCACTCTATGTCTTTTCATTGCTCTGAGTATTCGAACCACTCCCAAAGGGACAGGTGTCTTTTGGGGAATTCAAGAGACCTGTTTGCTAAACAGTCTACGTATCATCAGTCTTCTAAATATAATTGTTATTCCCAAAGGGACGGGTGCCTTTGGGGAATTCAAGATTGTGTTGCGCAAATTATTCTACTTATTCCGAACTCGTCTAGTTAATTATTCTCATTATTCCAAAAGGGACGGGTGCTTTTGGGGACTTGCAGATTCATGTTTGTTCTAATCATTCTAAGTATTTTAATTG